AGAATATCTCTGTATGTGTAGTCAACAATGGCCGATTTGAATAAAGAGAATAGTTTAACCTCTGACAATTTGTCATGGATGATAATGACATTTCACGATTGTTAGCAACCTCATTCCCAGGGCATTTCCCTTTGTCATTGGAACGAGGTTGGATGGTTAGGACAAATGGAAACCAAAACGTATTAAAAAAGAAGCAATCTACCCCATTTCCATCCGCATATTCCATAAGATGTATAGCTTCATCTTCGGCTTTATCGTAACTTTTAGGTTTCTTCATTATTTCAATTTCCATCTGCAAAATTGTAGATTTGTACTTCTGATTGCATGAGATGATTAAGCGATCCAGGCAAAATGAAATTTCGTTTTCAAACAAACCTCGTTTCGATAGAAAACATCTGGTAAGTCTATTAGAGTTTTTATTTTTAATTCATATTTATTTATTTTACTTCCTATGACCAGGGGCGTAACTAGAACGATAATTGGAGGAGGGGCGGGGTGAATATTCATATACTCATGCAGTTATGCCCGACGGATTTCTATTACACTTACAATAGAAATCGGACGGCCAGAACTGAAGAATATTCACACCCCCGCTGTTTTGCGTGAATCTTGGGTCTTGTGTATTTAATGGAGGGTGTAAAATTTTCTTTTCTTAATGTACTTCACACGTTCTGTTACGTCTAAAATTATTACAAAGTGTTCTCAGCTCACCAAGTCGAGTTTGCCATCGTGATTAAGGTCAAAAATTTCGTAAAAATTTTTCATATCCAGGGCGGCAAACGCTGGTGAATTAATGGAGTCTAAAGCCAATAAATAAATACAAGAGTAGTAAGAGAGTAGTAAGAATTTCCTCTTTCGGATTGGATACAAGTAAAGATTAAAGAAGTTAGTACCAGACTATGCTTGGAAATGAATACCCACATATATATAGGTGTTTGACACTGTTCATTGAAACATTGGAATCAATTACAATGAATCTTAAATATTGAAAATTTAATGACAAGCTGTACTCTCCCTAAACTTTCCTCTTTCAACAATCAAATTCATCCCTAAACAAGCGCATTGTATCATTTTATAGGCTGCTATATATAAAAGTCTTAAATCTAAATGTCTGTTCGGTGGGCTTCTGCAAAATGAAAGAACAACATCATCTAGTAATTAAATTAAATTAGGATGAAGGCGACACCATTTAGCACCATTATGCGTTCATTCAAACTGGTAAGTCGCTACTCTCTATTTTATAGTTTTTGTTTTTTTTGCGCCCATTTTACCCTAATTAACGGGTTTTAATCAAAGGTGTTATCTGGAGACGGAAGAATCAGATTAATCAAAAAGAGAAGTTCTATCATCGCGTTTTAGCAGTTGAGTACATGCAACAATAAATAAATTAGTACAATAAATACTCGTGTCATGCACTATACAATTTAAACAGACTAAGGAACAGCGAGGATTAGTAAGAAATGAGTGGAATTAGTGGGGATATGGTATACCTTCACTTGCTACGGAAGGTATACCTTCACTTGCTACGGAAATTGATAGGAATGGCTAGTCTGCGCCTACCGACTCAGGAAAAAGTCTTACCAAGATATTCCTTCAAAGATAGAAATCCATCCTTATCTTTATCATGTTCGTTCATTTCAAGCTGTAATTTTCAAGAAGATTAACAAACCTCTGATACAATACCACTAATTTGGGCACTTTCTTACACGAATTGAGAGAAACATTGTGTTATGTGGACGCGAGACCGTTGCTTTTGCCTAACGTACACCTGACGTTAGTGTAAAAAAATAATAATTCACCAGGTATCGGACAGATTAAAAAACCAGGGAGACTTTCCAGGCAGATGTACTGGTAAAAGTTACCCAGCTGGCATGTAGGCTACAAAGCAATTTTTTAGCACATATCCACTTCCACTTCCAAAATTATATTTCGAGTCCCACTGCTATCATGCTTTCACTAATTAAATTAATATCTCGTTTTCGATGCGGTGTTTCATACAAATATATTAATATCATACCACAGCAATGTATTCGCTCATCGCTTCGTGTTCTCGTGGGTGGTGAAAGAATTCAAATTCCTCTCTTGTCAGATTTTTGTCATCATTTTTGTCCGCATACTTCCACTTTAAACGATCATCTTCTATGTATTTATACAAATTTTCTCTGCTCCACTTCTTGTCCTTCTCTGAAACATGAATATCGAAGAAAATATTTTCGAAAGCATATAAATAATTAAAACATGCTGCGGAAATTCCAATGACATTAACTACGTTTTGTATTGTTTAATTTGAATATTTACCACTTTCAATAAACCCAAAAATATTTTTCATGTACTCATCCCAAGTAATCTGATTATCATAATCAGCATCAATATCATGGAATATTGCATCAATATCCTCGTGGACTGTCCAAGGTTGTAACTTGTGACGTATCCATATAGTTAATTCATTATCGTCTACATATCCATCCTTATTTATGTCAATACGAGGTACAAGCATTCTGAAATAAACCGAGAGGATTTTTACATTTTCACACTGCCTCCCGAGACAGGAGCCTCGGAAGATCCTTAAGTGTCTGCTTGTGGGGTACGGGGGGATATTCATATATACTCGTTCTGCATACTGATTAGAATCGTTTGAAATAGATTGTTTCTAGTAAAGGGTGACACTCGTAAATTAGTTGAACTCACCGAAGTCTTCTTATTGACTCCTTCTGTGTTAATCCGTAAAACTCACGAGCGGCTTCCTCCCCAAGGAATATCACGTGATCCTTGTGTAGGTCGTGGCCATGTGCCGTCGATCGTTTGGCTTTGTGAAACTGTTTGTTTCCGCTAGTCCACACGAACGTGTTCAAAAACAGCAAGATGGTGAATATCGTATTTGTGCTTGTCATCTGTGAGGATTTTCTGAAGAAAACGTGGCAATATACAATATTGTCTTTTGTGCTTTAGCTATTGCCTGTTGATCGAGCCAGATTACATAATGAATGCAGAGTAGCAAACATTTGAGCAAACAGATATAATACAATCGTTGCCTTGTGTTCCTTTCACAACGATTATTTTATTTCCAATGCATGAAATTAAATGCATATAAGGTGTATAGGTTCAGTCATTCACAAGATGTACGAGAGAATTTTGAAACTTTGGTTTATTTGACTTTTGGCCTTATATTAACGCATTTTTAAATAAAGGCTGTTAATTTTGAACAACCGCAGAGCACGGAGCTACCTTTTACCTCTGATGATTGGTTCGATTCTCACACCCGACTTAACTCACGAGGGGGAAAATCAGTAGACATATAGGCTCTATAGGCGCAAGTCGCAGGTTTAAATTTCTCCGGGCAGATTGAAGAAATAAAATGAAGTGGATAACACATACGAGACGAGTAAATATATTTACACACGACGGTAATAGAAACTTTGCGGTAATATTGGAATTTGGTTATAAACTATAAACTTTAAGCAAGAAAACACACTTACCTACGGCTACAGTACAAATAGTTGTTAATCTAGCCGAGATTTTGTTCCGCTAAGATGTCAATGAGAACGGACTGAAATAATCGTAAAAGGTATACTATATAATTCCTAACTATAGTATTGTTTGCTGAATGATAATCACTTATGTTTAATTTTCCATCCGCTAAAGGTTAGTAAACAAATCATGCATTGCTTTATTCAGGTATAACAGGTGTATTGACTTTATATAAAAAATATACTAATAAGCATATACATGAATGATAAAATCGGATGAAACAATGTATAATGGTTTAAAAGTTAAGGCCTATTTTAAATGTTGCATTTGGCACTTCCATCAGTTCCATGCACTGATTTATACGTCTGGAATGCGGAAATTAAGACCTTTCATACCTGCATTGCGGGGTTATATTTGTTAATGCGTCGATCGTTAAGGTAAATGAGAAAGAGGAACCTTTCAGTTTGATAGGGCCGGTGTAAAACTTTCAACTTTAGTTTCAACGCTACCGCGTTTTTAGGAGTCAAACTGTGAATCTACTTGCGAAGGCCAAGCACATAAGTCATAATAGTGAAATAAGTATCTCAACTTCAGCAAATTGAATATGAAAAAATACCAAATTCTGAAGCATAAAGCCATCTCAAAACTAAAAATATAAGTATAGACCTAAAATAAAAATTTTCGATTTGTTTCTTTTTATATATTTATTTCGAAATATCTCAAATTGCTCGGTTTTGACTTTGTTGAGTTCTTTGAATAAAATACGCTAATGGCATTTTTTGCTGGCAGCATCGATGAGAACATACGGAATATATTATACAGGAGAACTTAGCATCAAATGTGGTATAACAACTGTCTAAAATAGACAAAAAACTTCTCGACGTTTCAACCTGAGGACCTTCGTCAGGAGAGTTATATACTATACTATATCCAGTTGTAAAGCCCAGTAATTTACACTGGGTTTATAAAATTTTGTTTCCCCAATTTCGTCTGCATTTGGGAATACCCTATACCAGATTAGTTCACACATAGCTAAATGCTAAGACATGCATGTATGTTGGTTTTAGCCGCAGCAATCGTTCATTTCTGTTCAACATAATCACGGATTTTCTATTGGGTGACTTTCATACCCAAAGATTTTTCACAATTTGACAGTTGCATTCATGCATAATTTGAATGAGTTCAATCTTAAATCTTTGGCCTAGTTATTAAAGCGTAGATGTTGGTATTTTATTAATTTTTAAGCACTCTTCAAGTTCAAAGCTGGAGAGGCTTAATAAGGAGAGAATTCTTACAAAAGCCAAAAAAACCTCGCCAAATATGACACTATTACGAAAACATTGTTTTATAATGCCTAATGTTTGAGTGTCGGATATTTCAGCCTAAATTTATAGAAATCGTTTGATGTGGACATTCAAATGTGAGCCAGGTTCAATCATCAGTTATCAATCCAGGTACATGAGAGTTCAGTGGGTCTAGGTCGACTGTAGAGGTCAGTAATTTCAAGTTTTGAAGAGCGGTATCGAACATGTTTAAAAAATTCTTGTTTCCAACTCGACCATAATACCACTTGTGAATTTCAGAATAATTTCAGCACTTTTCCTAATATCATCAGACGACTGAGTAGACTTGATATTAAAATGACGTATTATGGATGCTAATACTATTTTATCTTCCATCATAGCAAATCTTTGTCCTGCAACGAAAATACAAATTGATAAATATAGGTATCATGATGCGATGGTGAGTACAATAGTACGAATTTAATTAGTACGTTTAATAGTACGAGTGATGTTTGAAAATTTTGCAAAAATTGGACGAACTGCCGGGGCTAGTTTTTATTATTAACATAATTATTAGCATTCGTATAGCGTTTTAATACGAACTTTCGGGCGTAATTTTCAATGCAAACACGATAGTTTCTTGTAAAAATACAGTCCTGCCAGACTTGTATCCATTATTTTGTGCTTTGGACAGTATTTGCGTTTTCCTTTTTGGCCTTTTTCAGTTCATCTAAGACTGTTTAGATTGTATATGCAAATAACTTTCCGCCATTTTTTTATCTGGGCAAAATCATCAATTAATGATAATTGTACAGCAGTACAATTAATAAAATACTTGATGAATTAATCAGTATCCAGTAATTTTAGTACGCTAATAATAATAGCGATGATGAAGATTTAATTTGCATATATATCGATAAATGATAGAAAACTTTTCGTTCAATTCTAACGTTCTTTAGATATTTCACAAAAAATATATCCAGAGTCTATCCAGAACAGTAACATGTTTCAGTGTTAACGAAACACGTTGAACGTTTTTTTCTAAGCATCAATGTTTCAAGGCTAGGCTTCAAGGATTGATCTATATCATACTGTAACATGAATTCTTAGAAATAGCTAGAAATTTCATCATGTAATAACTACAGTGAAGCACGCAATCTGACTGGTTAATATGCACGGAATATGACTGTTCATATAATTATTTGTTACTCACCAATGCAGTTTCTTGGTCCAGCAGAAAAAGGAACATAGGCAAAAGGTTGTCTTCCAACGTTATTTTCTGAAAGAAATCTGTCAGGATTGAACGTATCTGGATCATCCCATACCTCAGGATTACGATGCAAACCTATTGAAGCCACAATAATGCTACATCCTTCAGGAACACGGACTTGAAAAATCTTATTTTTAGACTCTTTTAACCATGATGCTTTAACGAGATGAAGAAACGCTATAGCCGCCAGTGACGCTCTATGTGAACTAGAACGATAAATCGGTCGCCCTCTTGGAAGCTAATTTGAAGCCCTAATTATATAGGCACCAGTACTGGACCACTAGTCCAATTCCATTGTTTTTGTCTCCGCAACCGACCATCACGCTAACCAAAACAATAGAAAGAAACTGGCACCTGTGCCCAATTCAGCTTGAGATTATAGCTTCAAAGATAGCGGCCAAATATTCCATGCAGGGACTGTCAACAATTTTGAAAGGTTTTATATTATAGGTTGTTGCTTCACTCGTCGTTTATAATAGTGAATAAGTATCAGTTCAATCTAGAATTCCTAAATGCTCAACTTTTGAACCATTTCCTGTTATTTACTCAGCTCGATCACTGAGGGTTATGCAAGGTTAGAAATGAAGCTGAAATCATCTCACAAGATAAACTAGTTCATTCTCGGATTATTATAATTACCCAGCAGCGCTGCATGTCACTTTTCTTTGTAAAAAAATCTTACCGAATTTGCATTCCTCCGTCAATTCACGACCAAAGAGAGGTACAGATGGAAACAATCGCAATCCCTCCTATAATAGAAACCAATGCAAAGTGGCAAGGCTTGCACTGTTTGAATTGATTTTTTCCCCTTAAATTATACTCTATTAGTCGGTACTCTCAAACGTCAGTATTCCATTGCAAGTTTCCAATGACTCACAATATCGATCGTACCAGTTCGTGCCGGTAACGCTCGCGCGCATTTGAACACGAATCTAAATAGTATGGCCAATGGATTATCATATATAAAATTAATACAAATTGTTCCCTTACTAAATATTTTAGTAACATTAGAATGGTTTATTTCGGTGTTTTTTATGCTAAATTCATTTCTGCAAAAGAAAGAACATTTTCATTCGGTAAAAGATGGACTTTTCCATTCAACTCACTGATTCAACTCGGCTTCGCTATTCAATCACCTCATGAAAACATTCATTATTAGTATAATTATATCTCACCTTCACGACACATTCCAGATAACTCAAGTCCTTCAGTTTTTCAGGGTTTATTTTTCCATCAGCCGGTAAAGATTCTACAAAATACCATCACTGATTGTTCGTCAAAATATTACTTAAGATGTGTTCACGCCTGCTATTTTCCTGAAAATTTGGTTGCATGCGCATTTCTTCTTTTCATTGTGTACGAGAGTGTAGATTCGTTCAGGTCAATCTTGAGTGTTAAAATTTTTGCGCCATACCGTAGCTACTAAGTCGAGACTGCTGTGACGTGGTACAACTTCAAAAGGGTACTTTATATAAACGAATTTATTGTTGAAATTGCTGGTGACGGTTTTTCATACAAAATAGGGAAAATTATAATATTGGTATAACCAATTTCGTGGAAAAATAGGTTTCTTGTAAACGTTGATCAACCAGACTTTAAAACCATCGCTTTGTTGTCATTTTTATTTTTCATACTCTGGATCAACCTCGTACCCAGAGAGCGTAGGTAACAAAACCCTGGGTACGAGATTGATTTCGGATATTCTTAGGCGATCATTGTAACAAAATTTTAGGAGAAACACCCAGAGAAAAGAAATTGCGAACTTACCGTACCAAATATCTACTTCCTGTTGCAAGCGTGATTGAACATCAGGATAAATACTACGAAGATAAATGATCCATTGTAATGAAGCTGCTGTTGTGTCGTGACCCTGCAAGGAAAGACTGTTCACTTAGGGTGTCGCTATCTTAAGTTGATACAGTTGTTCATGAAAGGCTTCGCTTTAGGAAAAAAATATAGATTCCTAACCGAGGTTAGATATTGTTAATATTACAGCCAATCAGAATTCAGAAAAGGCTCCGTCTCCGCCAGCTGGTGATTTGTAAAAAAATCAATCAAGTCAAAGTACCTCAAACATGAATGTATCGACCTCTTCTCTGACGCCCTCCTTCGTTATATTTCCCTGATCATATTCCTCTAATCACTCATCAGGTATTCGATACGACAGGCTTCGGGGGCCTAATACTAATATAGTCGCACACTAAAAATAATATATAAAAATACAAATTGTATATGTATATCGGTAAAATAATAAACGTATCGGTAGGCATTACATCTTTACTAACGTCAATAAAGTTGTTGGCATCTTGTTATCTTTATTTGCAAAAAATAACAATTTTCCTCGCTCATGAATTATGCTTCACATACTTCGGTCGAAACGGGAAAACAAATGGTATGGCTTGCCAATCCTCAGCTCTTGCTTACGAATAAACGCTCCGGAACTAGAAATAAGAAAAGAAAAAAGATGCGCATCCCGTCACATGATAACCAACTTCCAATAAAACCGCCGAGCCCCGTGTTTGAACGTACTACCAACAAACAGAGAAGATAAGAAGGATCGGGAAACCAAACTCTAGAAGTTCAGGGTGGGCCCATATTATTATATTTCTCCCTCTGTTTGCTTGCATAATCATAACAGACCTCCCAACTCCCAAGGCCTTTGTGTAATTTGAATTACTTAACATTTATTACCTAACGCTGAGGGAAACAGTGTGTTTTGTGCTAAATAAAAATAAACCGGAGGCCAAAGAAGAGCCAATTCCTAAACAGTGTCTGTATAGATTAGAATATGAAATAATATAAAGTTAACTTCAAAAACAGTAGAAAAATTCTTTATCATAAAAAATATACATGTTCGCCACTTCCCTGTGATTTCCCAAGGAAAAGCATAGGAATGCGCATCAAATTTCATCATTTGTTCAAGGGAAAATTATGAAATTTGAAGCCTTCTCGTGTTGATCACGCTTAATCATTTAGATTTGAAGCCCTTTACGCGTGGACCTCTTGTCCAATAGGAAAGCACTAGGTATAATTATAACAATAGTATTTGTTAACATAATGAGCGAATTTAGCAAAAACATTTTATATAATTCGACAAATTAGCACACAGTCAACCTTAAACTATTCTAAACTTGTATTAATAGAGTATATAGATACCAACATTTTTTAAGCTTATACAGCATTGTTGAGATTTGAGCGTTGAAAATTTTCAATATTTCAATTCACCTGCTATATCAGGCAACTTATATAAATAATTTCAAATCATAGTCATCACATTAAGATGGAAGCGAAATTGCAAAAAAAACACCTTCTCTTGAAATCCTAGGATATATTTTATCCTCATTTTAACATATTTCGCCATTTGTCTTTCAGGTTTTGCGGAGTCCTTTGCGGCATAAAACTGTAATGATTCAAAATCTTTTTCCATTGAAAGCCATATTTAGAAACGCCGTCCTTGAGGTTTTCCTCTTCTTGGACAGTGAACGGACATCGTTTCTTTGGCTTATAGCAAGTAGCCTGGAAAACACACACAGATTTAGTAAATTCACAATGTTTAGCTGTGAAAACACTCATGAACAACATAAAACAGTAACGAAAGATAATAAACTATTACGTCGAGAAAAAATAAAATAATTACAGACGCTCTGAAAAGCACCTACAAGTTAGTTTTGCTTCTTAATTAATCGTGTTTAAATTTGCAAATTGGATGGGAGCATATGAACACGTCTGTTCACAACAAATTAGACAAATTGCGAAAATTGAATGTAAAGATTTGCATATCCTGGTTTAAGTTAGCCGTGTTTTGAACAACTGCCCCAGAAATAAAACTTACCTGCATTAAACTTGTGTATTTCTGTTTCAACGTTTTTGCAGACCTTTTCGTACTAAACTCGCAATATCTCTCAATGATACTGAATCTAGGCCCGTATTTGTCCACGCCTGTTAACGATGGACACAATAATGTATAACGATGGACATAAATTATTTGAAAAAACTAGGCCAATAAATTGAAAGAAGCAGCGCTAAGGGCTGTTTCCCACTGTCTGTTCATCAGCGTAAACGGTAAACATTGCAACGACTACTAACCTTCTTTGAGAATTTCAATTTCGCGTGCAGTAAAAGGTTTTTTGGTGGGCCTTGAACTGTTCTTTTGTTCATCGGGTTTTACCCTGTTTGCTATCTAAAAAATACATCTGCCATTGATTTCATACTCGAATACCAAATACAAATTTTTCCAAAATACAACCTGTAACGTTGCTATTAAAGCATTTTGAATTTAAAATTAATTTGAATTTATTCTACCTAACCCTAGATCTGGCACTGCGCAAAAATACCTAAACAACTATACAGTAGTGCACTCAAACGTATGCTTCCTACTGACATGTCTAACGAATAACTGCGTCATATCCTACCTCTCTGGGGAAGCCTTCACAGCGCACGTTAACCTTTGGAGACGACACGAAGTCGAAATCTGGTGACCGTTTTTTTGTTTCTTTAAATTTTTTGTATCTTTGAAGAGCAGATACCACTTCCATAACAAACAAACGATGTTCAGTACACGTGTTGATGCTACGTCGTATACTACTGAGATAATTATGGCTGTTTACTTTAGCGAAGTCCACGCGACATCCCAGACATTTACGGCAGATCTAAAATAAAAATAACCTTTTTTATTTCAATTCTGCAGAAACCAAAATAATAAGAACGGAAATGTACTGATTATGCGAAAAAATGGAAATGGAACTTAAAAGGTGTGAATGTATCAAAATCAGGGAATCTGTGGAATAAAAATAATTAACAATAAGATTATTAACACGGTGATTTTCACACAAATTCGTATTTAACTCAATTTTAGAATTGCTAAAATATTATGCAGCAAAACTATCAGTAGAGTGTTTCCTCAAGCATTCCTTTTAAAGTAGGGCGTCTTTAGGTATCGCGCAAACATTTTCAAGCTTATCATCAGGGCCCAGGGGACAAGAACAAAATCAATTTCACGGGTGGCATACTTCAATAGTTCGCTTCTTTTTTGATCTATAATGCTATCACTGGGTCTATATAATTACGGGCTTTTTAATAGCCTTAAGGCCAATAAAAACATCTAAAAGAATAATTGCAACAAGAAAGTGGCATTTATTAATACCGTTAAGGAGAAGAGATCGTATTAATTCATTAAATTTACCCCATTTTTGTTGCGTTCAAACAACAAAGGCTTTTTTCTTTTTTTCCTGGGTGGGAAAGGTGCTTTCAATACCACGTCATGTACTGGTATATCAACATCGACAGACTTATCAACTGGAGATTCAGAAGGAATTTCTTGACCAGGGGAAGGAGAATCTTCATGATCAGATTCTGACAGTCGAAGCTGTCGTTTTGAACTTTTTTCGTTGTTTCTTTTCTCGTTGGCCGTTGTTATGAACGGCCTCTTGCTAGCTCTGCTGTTGATCATTTCTATATTTGAAATAATAATGAACAGCGTTGTTTACATTCGATGGATTGAGAGAAAAAACGATTTGGCAGTTTTTATGCTAGATTTACTAGAGAGTTAATTCGATTTTTCTCCTTATTAGGTATGTAAAAGCAAAGCAGAAAAATCATGGGGTTATATTTTTCCATAAAAAAGATTTTTTCGATGAAAAAAATCCAAGAAAGATTTAAACGTTGATTCTGATGTTTGAATGATTTTATTAAGTAGCTACGCTAATTTAATTTTGTACGCGTGATGCATGGACGCACGAAAAATAAATAAATATATTTCCAGAACACAAAAGAACATAACATGGTTCTTGGAGAGATGTTGATAACTCACCTGTCTTCTGATTTTTAGGAGTTTCACCGCAACGAATGTTTGCAACTTTTTCGCAATTGCTATCACCATTGCTGTCAACGTCTTTATTCGAAAAAATCATGCAAGAACGCGTTGTAGTGTTCATCATATCCATTAAACGATCAATTCGATTGTCACTGACTGACTTTTGTTCCTACAAGGATAATATGAAACTAAAAACCTTCTATTATCTCATGTCTAGCTACAGTTAAAAGCACACTTATCGTGTATTACTAAGCTATAGAAACAATGCTAAATTAATCAAAAAAAGTATTTTCAAGTTAATTGCAATACTCTTCTCACCGCTGTAAATACACAGAGTTCTTTAAAAGAACGGACTTCATTCGTTAAATCTTGAATCCGGTTAACTATCATATCAGTTTGTCCAGATGGCATTATGTCTCTGTTTTCTATAACATTACTTTCACAACCATTACTACTTCCATTCTCCACATTTGTAACATCTACTTCACCTTCACCTTCTATATTCTGTTTTCCATCTAGCAGGAAAAAAATATTGCATGAAATGTGCCCTTGCCAACAACTATTATACCTATTTACCACTTCGGTATTCGTACTGGCACCTTAATAACAGTTTTCCCTACATTGTCACAGGCGATTAAATACGACAGCTTACTTTCCACTCGAAGAAAGTTATCTGGCGCTATCTGTATTTTTTTTAAGACGTCATCCATACACTCCGGAATCGTTATTTCTGAAGAAATGAATGAGATATTTAATAATGCACCAAATCCTTCCTAAGCACAATTCCTTTAAAACCGATGTGATTGAAAATTTTTATTATCAGAAAACAGGTGTCGTTTAAAAAACTTACTGGTTTGCTCTAAGTACGTTTGCAAAACACATAAAGCGGACTTTTGTAACTCTTCACAATTCTAGAAAATTCGAAGGGACTCAAATACAACATAGTCAAAAAAATGAATAAAGTGTCTAAGGTGACATTCAACATTCAGCAAGAGTCCTTGCCACACGCAACCTACCTGATTTTCGGTTAACACCTTCACTACCGTAAGCATCCCATCATTCGTTAAAAACTGTTTGCAACTTGAGTCTGGAAAGAAACGTGCCAACATCTTTACTACGAAAACCGTTGTAACGCTACTTACTGTTTATCGAGATTCGCGATACAACTGTTTTCGCAGTAATAAAAACGTTTTCCACGCTACACTTGGTTTTACACTTAAGGCCGGCGCACACTAGAGCTATGTGCTTAGCAAAAAGTCATTCGTGGCCATTGGCGTAAGGCAGTTGCTCTCGTGTGCGGGCGACTTTTCCGGCGACTTTGGTCATTCGTGCCACTTACGGCAAATATTTAGCATGTTTGATAATTTCTGCCTCGTGTGCCAAAATCTTTCCGTGTGCGGCAAAATAAAAGCAATCTGCTTATGGATTGTCTTAACAGCGCATGCGTAATATACGAAAGTAAATATCTAAGATGGCGGACAGATTGCAAAAACAAAATTATGGATGAAAGTGAAGACGAAGAGGTGTTGTTATTTTTGTTGCTGTTCCGTCGGACTAGACTAGAATTCCGGTTTAAACACCGTTATCCAAGTGCTATTATTTATATTACCTGATTGAGAAAGCTTAATTACTAGCTATTTCTGCAATAGCGCATTCCCGTTTCTCTCTGTTTCTAAAATCTGTAGAATTAACATCGTATAAACACCTGTATTCTGGCCAAAGATCAACCAGTTTGTCTTCCAATAGGGCCTCAGCCACCAATTCGTTTTGCTTTGTTTGCACCGCTATCTTGGATGTTTACTTTCGTATATTACGCATGCGCTGTTAAGACAATCCATAAGCAGATAGCTTTCAGTTTGCCGCACACGGAAAGATTTTGGAACGCGAGGCAGAAATTATCAAACATGCTAGATATTTGCCGTAAGTGTCACGAATGACCAAAGTCGCCGGAAAAGTCGCCCGCACACGGGAGCAACTGGCTTACGCCAATGCCGCGAATGACTTTTTGTTAGGTAAGAAAGTAGCTCTAGTGTGCGCCGGCCTTTATTAAAGAGTCGTCTTGGGGTGCTGCTTTTTTTGCATGCTCATTTTATTTCAGCAGTATTATGACACACTGCTTACAGTTTAAAATTTTCTAGGGCTTTTAGCTGATGGAAAATTGGTTTTACCTGACAGGAGTTTTACATGCCTACATATACGACTTAACGGTGGACTTAGCAGTGGAAAGATTCTGCAGCTATATATCAAACCGAACATTCTTGCACGTGCTTGATCGATGCTGGTGCACTAATCTGGACACTGGGTCTTCGTTTTTGGACGCACCAGACTTCCATTCTAAATCCACTTACCACATCCTTCAATACACGCAGAAAGTGTTATCAAACACTGTATTTTAAACTTGGGAGATGCAAAACAAAGCTGAAGTGATTGCAAAAGGAGGGGAACAATTTCCATTTCCGCTATACTGTCGCGACACATGTCTATCAAGATATAAAAAGATATTGCACCTTCTCTTAAGTAGCAATTGTTGCACTCTTACCGAAAAAATCCAGTACCAACAGTATCCGAAAGGGGCATTCTACAATATTGGTTCCGTCTACAGTTTCGCTACTCGGATCCGCCCGACGGATTTCTTTTGTAAGTGCGATAGTTTGCAATAGCAATCCGTTGGGCAGAACTGAATATGGAGTTTTTGCAGCGACTACGAGTACGAGTACGAGACCCGTCATTCTTGCGCGTTGTTTGCATGCTTACACTATCAGCACAAACTCATAGTCGTTGTGCTTTCGAGTTTCGAGTACGAAATTTGCCAAAAAACTCGTACTCAAAAACCAAGCGACTATCGCCTGTATTCAAAAAGCTCACTCACACTCACACTCATCGAGTGTGGCATATGAATTTTGTTAATTCTGGCAAATGAGAAAGTTTTCTTTCAATAGATGGAAAGATATAAGGTAAATCAGTGAAAATCAAGCCCCTTTTCGGCTGGAAATACCGCCATTGAAACGTGATGAGAAGATTAGGATCTCCCACTCAATGAGTTTGAGTGTGAGTGAGCTTTTAGAATACAGGCGTACGAGTTTTGGCTGATGACGTAAGCAAACAAGGCGCGAGAGTGACGAATCTCGTCCCCGCAGTCGCTGCTAAAAAACTCCCCAATATATGAATATTCACCCCCCCCCCACACACACACACAATTATTGTTCTAGTTACGCCCCTGATCAGTCGGAAAAAAAATTAATAAAGTAATTGATAGCTACTGTTAAGTCGACGCAGTATCACGAGTATATATATATATATATATATATATATATATATATATATATATATATATATATAATATATATATAATATATATATATATATATATTATGAAATTTTTAGCGTACCATTGTCACGCACAGCTGCATCTATTGTCAATATCAAGATCTGAAGAACAGTGGAAGGTATTTGGCCACCAGCAAGCAGGTCTTCTCGAAATATATCATATAATACCCTTATACCTCCTACCAGACGAAAATTGACTTGACAACGACCTAAAGGAGAGCGTTTTTCAAGGCAACACTGAATTGGTTTAAATTATGACTCTATATGAGGCCAACTGGAGAAGAAAGGGGGGATTTATTTAAAAAATGGCGAGCATTGGGAATAATTAGACAAAAAAGTACAACGACTTCACAAGTGCAATTAATATTTAAGACTACAGGAATTTTGAATTTTTATACTTACTATTATTTACTAAACAATTTGTCAGAAATGTGAGGGTACTGGTTTGTATACGTGGATAATCGGAATTCCTTAGATAAGCCACAGCAGCAGGAAACGCTGACGAACATAGAAATTGGTTGTCATCTTCAATTAAAAAAAAACTGTGTTATAAAATGATTAAAACTGCAACCATTCGATGATAATTGGAAGTATTTTCACATTAAAAGATTTCCTAATCGAATAAAACTTTAAAATTTCTCTTCGTGACAATTCTCCCTATTTGCACATCCGAAAATTATACGCTCATTCACCTACAGTATAAATTATAAAAAAATAAGAAAATTGCACAAAAAATCGCAGCAAAACAAAAACGATAGAAATTAAATGCATACTGTTTTGTGGGTTATAAACACAAACAGACAAGGCATGTGTCGCTGTTTGCCAGAGGTTCATCAGAGCTTCATTTTCTTGGCAATTTGATGAAAGGTATTCCCCTAGTCTATTCGGAAGGCGTGGAGAATGCGATGGAGAACGAACATCCCTGGAAAAAACCACAGTCAATTGTTCTTGAAATACTTAAGTGGAAGTCAAGTCCGTGAACAAACGGTTTGTTAACATTTTGAATATCTATACTGTTTTAAAATACGTACGCTTTGTTATATGTAGCTAATTCTGTTTTAGGTTCGCTGCGCTTTTAAATGAACGTATATTAAAGCGCATGTGCAGAAAAACTTGTGAACGTGCAAAATTTAGGCCAAATTATTGTAGAGAGGGCCCTCCTTTGTTATGAGCAGAAGCGATGCGCAGATTTATCACCAAATAGAATTGATCAAAAAGACATGAATCCAGTGAATATATAATCTCCGAGGTTACTGATCTTTAAAGTACATAGACTGACGTCTATCACTTGGTTTTCCTTCATTCCTTGCAATTCATTCATGCCTTGATCATGCAGAGTTGCAAAAAAGCTGCGGGTACGCGGGTGCCACCCGGAGGAAGGTTTGCTTTGAATGAGGTTTGTGAGGAAGGTGCAAAGTTGAACACCCTATTTGATCACATGCATGTAACAAAAAAACAAATATTTCTTTCTGCCGGTTGCCATTTGACTCAGTAACGTAACGTCATTTTGAGGAAGATTTTCACAACTTGAAATCCTACCGGAGGAAGGATGAACTCTTTTTGCAACTCTGTGATCATGATTCGGAAAAACAGTTGATCGAGAGGATTTATCAACGAAGATATGAGGTGATTGCTCTCTTCTAAAATCATCTTGCTTCGTAGTTCATCGCTTGAACTAATTTACCGTCCATATTTGCTTTATATACAACCTGGACCTAGTTGTGCCTCGGTGATAAGATGCTCTTGTTTTTAAACCTCGTTTTTCTCTCTCCACAAATGCCCAATTTTTCCCAAACTAAGAGAGTAAGTGTTTTTAAGAACAATCTATGTACACTATTTTGGTAGTTTGAAGATCTAGATGTATCTCAAACTTTCAAAAAAAAAATCGAAAAAACGCGCGGATTTTCTGTCATCTTTGTGTTTGCTTCAATCTGATTTCGTAACGGCAGCATTTTTTTTAAATCTGATTACAAATTTGGGAAATTCAGTCGCGATCCTTCGGGTTTACGTCTATTTTACGAAGCTAGTGCAAGATTTATTATTATGAAAACTTCATAGATTTAAAAATGTTTATTTTTCACAAGAGTGGGTCTACTTGCAAACTGAGCACAAAGTCGGCTTGAACCCCCTCCCCCCTCCCTGAGTTATCGTTCCACTTGTATTAGAGTTCACTGGAAAATATACGGCTGTTGCTAATTGGTATGACTACTTTCTTTCATGTTATCGTTTTACCGAGGCGCGGGGTTTCTGCATGCATGTTCTCTAGTTCGCTGCATGAATCACTAATTTGCTAAGAGTTGTGTTAACAATCTGTTTCTACAGAGTATAGCTATATGGGAATAAAACTTACTTGAAAAGGTAACGTAATGTTTCAACGCATTTTGTCTGCCTCGCCAGATTCTGACCTTTCTCTGGAATAGAAAAAAAGAATTGAAGAAGTATTGGTATACGACTGATGAGAATTCTACCGCATTTGATCCTACTTCGTGTTGCCATAAATCATCATCAACATTCTACTTAGGCCTACCGTTGTTTTTAATTAGACAAATCAGTAAGTAACTAGAGAGTGTTTGCAATCTTATCGACGATTTCATCAACAAAAATTTCTTCAGTACACAAAAGATCTTTTGCGTGCACAATACTTGTCGGGCGCCAGCTGAAATTACAAGAACAGAGATGAAACGTGAATATTCCTGAATGAAAACCTCGACAATCAAAGTAATTTTGAGCTTGACCTGTTTGTAACTCAGAGCAGCACCATCGCAATATTAATTCACCTGATTTATACACAATAATCTATGAAAGAATTTAGCTAATTCATTGCTTTCATATTTATTTTAACCCCGTAAGCTCTTTTACTCAACCCTTTAGAGAAAAGAGAGGGATTCGAATAGTTCCCTGGGTCAATTTTCATATTAAAATCTGAATCTATTAACAAAGTTGATCTTAACAATCCCTAACTAAAGCCTCCCCTGACACTAATACTATCTTTTATATTAATCATTACCAGACCCTCAATAATCCTAGGAAAACCATATAATTGTCAGATTATTATAATATTATAGGCCAAAGCTAATACGGTACATGCAAGAACTACATAATAATGTCCTTAGTCTCAAAACTATTGCACGTTTAACATGGACAGCATATGTTATTACCATTATTTTCACAAGCGGCGCACAATGCATGTAGAGAAGCCTCTCTAAGCGAGTTTGGTTGGTCGTCAGGGGATATCAGTATCTTTAAGATGTGTTCTAAACCATTCGTATGAACCAAGAAGCTCGATGTATTGTCTAGAAAGAACCAAACCAGCAAACTATAGCCATTACATTCTATTGTTATATACCTAGTGTCACAATTCATTTTTTCTGTTTTCCTCAGATGATCCACGCGTGGAGGGCTTTAAATGTTCGCCATGATTACGCGTGATCAACACGAACGGGCATCAAATTTCATAATTTTTCCTAGGGCAAATTATGAAATTTCATGCCTGTTGCTAGGAAAGTTTTTGAAGTTAACTTTATATTGTTTCATATTCTAATCTATACAGGTCTAGGAATCTTCTTTGGTTTATTTTCATTTTGACACTAGATATAACAACAAATATATCACATAGTTACTGACACTTCGGGAAAGCAGTGCGTTTTGTTGACCCTCGGCCGGAGGTCTTGCTAAAGGAAATTTGTAAATAATAATTTGAACTTCAAAAATAACAACGTAAGTAGGAGTGTAGAAACCTGGACGGTGGAGCATTAGGCCTACAGGGCAAGCGTCTCATGCACAGAAATAGAACGTCATATAACAATCAAGAAATTCTGAGAAATAACAGGAGGTGGCCGTGCCAATAGCATTAACACGTGAGCATCTAGATCACTGCCACATTCCAAAAGAGACGTTATAACGTACGCTTGATTTTCGCAACAAAGATCTGCTAGACCTACTATCTATATTTCTAAACGATAATTAAAAAAATACCACGTGTGCTTTCTTGTAAATCTTTCATGCATATCTGGCTATTGCACGTCTAAATAAAAAGACAACTAAAAAATACACTGCAAATGCAGCAATCTTACCACTGGTCCGAAATATAGATGCCATGGTCTTTAGAGCTTGCTCCTGAAATTCTAAATCTTCCTGTCGGTATTTAATACTCTCAATCAATAATTTTAAATCATCCAATGCAACTGTATCAGCTTCCATTCTTTCGTCATGATCATCCATAGAAACTCAAAACCTGAACAAAATATTTATCTGTAAAACTATACAGTATATAGGAGTCACTAAAAACCAGTACGCCTCGGAGCAATGACCTGAAGGAAAATACTGATTAATAGTGATGTACAGGGCCATTTGTCCGTAGGGCGTCTAACTGGAACGGCAGATAGGTTGAAAATGAAAAACAAAATTGACATCCATTATTTGAATAACTGAGCTAGCTGAAATATTTCAAGGTAAATAGTTTAATTTTCAATGAAAGTACATATTATTTAGCGCAAAAGAATGAAAAGATGCAGGTTCAGTCTGCCCTTTGAAACCCGAGGTGGCCCATGCCAAAGACTTTTACCGTGCTAGTTTGTGTCACTGAAAGTGGCCAGTCACCAAACTGAAGCATATATGGGGGGAAATTAAGGTGCTGCGCGGGATCTCACCATGACCTTTTTTTCCGAATAGACGCAGCCCCTACCCTCCTCCCCCCTAATCAAAAGTTCTTTCGACGCCTGTTCAGTCTTTCACAAGATGTACATATGAGTTTGTAAACATTAATTGGCTTATTCATACACTGTTTAAGCTCCACACCTTACGAACAACCGGACCCTGATATTTGTATATCATGTGTCTGTAACAGCACTGTGACGGAATATCAGTAGACAGTGTTGTAGCCCACATTGTCACATTTTTTCATAAAATATCATATGGGCAAAATATTGGTCATACAAAACTTTTTAATTAACAGAACATTTTAACGGAGTGTTTGAGAATTTTACCTGTTAAGAATTCCTCTTTTAACTGCTTAGTTAATTGTCAAATCAGTGGATCTAAATTATTTGCACATACAGTATTCACAGTGTCCAGCAATAAAGGCTTTGCTTCAGCACATGCAGCTGGGTTATATAGGGATGTATTTGGTGCAGAATAAAATTAAAAATTAAAATTACTCTTATCCCTATGCGTTTATCATGATCATGCATGTCTAGATGAGGCATCAGTTAATTCAGTTTGAATATAAATTGAAGAAAAAAATTAAGGCAACTTAATCCGGGCAAAAGGCCTTGGTTAAAGATAAAAAATCTAGCTCTGCATGTATAATTAATACATTTAGTGTTCCAGGAATTGAGTAATAATTAAGTAAAATTTTGTGAACTCACCATACATGCAAAATACAAGTACATTTTTCAGTTTATCCATAAATGTTGGGGCCGCAGAAGATCATTACAGTAAGTGGGGGGGGGGCAAATATTCATATATTAATTTTTCAGGGGGCATGTTAATTGTATAAAAGACTAGTTAATTTTTAACTGTAGTTAAGGACAGAATTGTCCAATCAGAGTTATGTATTTCTGAGTTGACTATAGGATTTAACTATGCAAAGTGTAGTGTTGAAGGGTTTATACAACCCGCCCCAGCAGTATATATTAGTTTCTTTTTAATTTAATTGATTGAAGGGTTTTATAGTATGTCTGTTAACATGAATATATGCCCCCTCCCCTTAACAATCTTTCCTAGCCCCTGCATAAATGTATATTATCCTAAAGTGGGACCTCATATACTTTTCAGCTAAGTCACTTGTTCAAAGATTTACTGGTATGTCCTAGCTGATTTACTGGTAAATCATTACTATAGGTAATATAAACAAATTTGCTGATTATATAGTCTAAAACAAAATTCCTTTTGTTGCTAGGGTTACAAATGTACAAGGAATTCTCTAAGGCACCTGGGGATTGAATCACAACTCATTGCATATGTACACTGGAAATTACATGCAAGATTCATAGAATTTTTATAAATGTATACTCTTTTGGGATTTGGGATGAAACATATGTACAGTACTCATGGCAGAAGTTTGTCAGTAAAATTAAATTATTCTTATACTGGCTCCAGGTATATCCAGGTATGCAATCAAGATTATAATGTATCCAGGATCTGGCTGGCTCAAGATAAGTACATGCATTCTAAACAAATTTTTCAAGGTAAAATATTTGTAGTACAACTGGTTGTACATATTTAGAAAGAGACCGGTAATAAACACCACAAGAGAATACAATAATTACAAGGCCATGCAGGTTTATAATAATTACATGCACATTAAATTGGCTGCCATATAATGAATAATTCAGGTTATATATAAAGTGCTATAGTACTATACCCTGTAAGTACTACAATACTGGCCAAATTCTGCCAGTTATAACAACCAAAGAAAACTTTTGCTTCAGGACATGCGACCTAGCTAAAAATTGAAAATTCCTAGCTTCAGATATAAACTCAGTACTTGTCATAAAATGAGTTTATTGCCTGGAGAAAGCATATTTTAATTTTACAGTGTTTGAATTCGCTCTGAGTAAGGCATATAAAGCATTTGACAAGATTTTTAAATACGAAACAACAAATTTTTATCTATAATAACGTTTATAAATTAAAAGATCCTTTGTTTACAAAATGATTTTGTTCCGAATATAACACTAAAACCATCCTAATTAAACAGAATGTATAAAATTAAGGTATAATATACTGAAAGAAGTACTTGAAAAGAAAAAGCGAAACAAAGTTGTATTAAAAACAATTGAAAAAATACAAATAAATTTGCATACCTTGAATCGTTCTTAAATTCTTGGGAAAAGGATATACAAATTCCCGCCAAAACTAAAGTCACGTGACTGGCAGCGCTAGTTCTTGTTGAGCCCAGGGCGCTATATAAGTGCCGGACTCACCCTCCGGTACACGCGAGCCCACGTATTGTTAGTATTGTTTATAGCAACAACAGTAAATACCTAAACACTGTATAAAATATGGAGACGCACGGTTTTAATAATTAATAAATGTGTATTACTTTATTCCTGTTCGTTATTCATGAAACATTAGTACTTTCTAGTTTCTACGCGATCTGCAATTCATTATGTTTCCTTTACGTTTTCAGATGTTATATAAAAAACATGTACATATTGTCATAGTTTTCATGGATTAGTCGTTAATTAATGATTCGAGCAACAGGGGGAGGCGTAGCCGCGCAAAGCGTTTGCAAAACTTGGACCGTCTACATTTTACATAGTCTATGACGTTCATCACTTTGACACGTTCCAACAACGCATTTTTGTGATTTATTCCAGAGATATTCAGGTTTTTATATATTTTGATGTCTCTACTTTTGAATAGTATTAGTTTTAGTAACAGATCGTCCGTTGCTATGGCGACATACGTGTACAAAATTCACTCCAAAATGACCAATTGCCTCGGATAATTTGAAAAGAAGCACCGTGACCCCCAATTTTTTTTTCGTCCATCATTTTACTTGGAAGAAAAACTAACAATTGGCAAAATATAAAAAAATTCTATAATGCCACATTTTTGAAAAATGTAAAAATGATATTTTTTTTGATAATTTTTTTTCCATCATAGAATTTTTTTATATTTTGCTAATTGTTAGTTTTTCTTCCGAGTAAAATAATGCACGAAAAAGAATTGGGGTCACCGTGCTTCTTTTCCAACTATCCGAGACAATTGGTCATTTTGGAGTGAATTTTGTACACGTGTGTCGCCATAGTGACTTACGATTTGTTACTAAAACTAATACGATTCAAAAGTAGAAACATTAAAATATATAAAACCCCTATTATCTCTGGAATAAATCATAAAAATGCGTTGTTTGAACGTGTCAAAGTGATGAACGATGGAATTTTTTGAAAACTGTATCGAGCCACCTTAGAGTTCATCCACCGGCGCATGTAATATGATTTATCTGCATCGTCATTCAGCGATAAAAACAATCACACGATAAAATGATGCTTGTAGAAGAGTGTAGTTTATTCCATATTTTATGGCGTGCCTTGAGGACACACATTATTACACATATATAATTATACTGATAAATAGCTCTGTCATTCAAATGAACAATCACTCATTGCTCATCAATTTCTCATAAATTTACAAAAATTTAATACTGCATTTATACTGTTTTTCATTTTACTGCGTTTTCTTTTTTTTTGCTTTTTTATTTTGCTCTTCGGTATAATCTGCCCCGAATAAGATAATCTCGTTCTTACCTTTGGGAATGAAAGATCTCAAGAAAGCGCCGAATGACGTAAATAATCCCTAAATAAAATGAAGTCAAAATTTCGTTGGTTTAAACATTGCTTAAAACAACCGCCCCCTTACACACAATATAAACTAACAATTAAACTTGCTGAAACATCTGTTTTCTACCATATACCTACGCACACAAACTATAAAACAAGACCTCGGAAAACACAGCACATGTTTCGCTCATACGGTCAACAACTAGCTCAATACGACTACTGCATGTTTCTCAATTCCGGGTTGATTCGGAATCTGCAATTTGAAACTGTAGAAAACTTACGCCACTCTGTTTCTCTGACTTCTTGTTATCGTCTTTTTTGGTCTTCTTCTCTTCCTTGGTCTGGGCTTGAGTTTCTTCCTTCTTTGCGCCATTCGCAATATTTGATTCCTAAAAACGATTTTACAGAAACTAAATATTAGTAACGTACTCTCGTTAAATAATTAATATCCTATGCCTACCTGGGTCTAAATTGTTCGAGTAAAGGCCCTATTCATCTAAAGTTGGTGCAAACTTCTCTCCATAATACTGAGTTTAATCTATTCCAAATAAGGTTACCAGGATTTCTGGGCGATCTAGGTACCGAAAGGTCAATTTTTAATAAACGTATATTACACTTACCCTGAAGTTAGATTGAGCGTAGTAATCAAAACTATTATCTGAAGTCGCAGGCGCTGAAATTCCACTTGTTTCGACTGCGTTAACACTAGCATTACTCGGCTGCTTTCGTAACAAATGCTCAAAAGAGTTCCCTTCGTAGAGGTTTGTGCCAGAACTTGGTAATCCTGTTTCATCGTGCTCTATGCTGCTCGAAACTGCTTGTGCGACATTTTCATAAGGGTAATTCTTCGGTGGAAGAGTTTGGTCGGTGGGAGCAACCCCGTAGGGGTAATTCCCTTGCGATGGTACTGGCCCTTGAGCTTGAAATTCCCCGGTATAGGACATGTTGGCACTTGGTGCAGCGGTGGGCTTGAATTGAGCGAAATTCTGAGAAGCTTTATTGTCCTCGCGATATAAAACTTGTTCCTGGACTATGTCACTATTTTTTTGAGGAACAAACATTGTAGGTACCATTGTAGTGGAACTCTGAACTTCTTTATTATCAATGTTTTGCGTGTGTTCATACGGCATTTCCTGTGGAAGTTGCGATTGCTGAGGTAGTTGTTGCCCCAATGTTTGCCAGCTGCTAGTAGACAGGAACGAGCGCCCTATGGTTTCGTTGTTTTCCTAAAAAGACAATTTTTAACACGCCTCAGAAACGCTTCGCATGGAAAACTGCAAGCATGCTTCCAGGACAGCATCAGTTGGCGTGTCCTCACAGAAACGACGCTGTCTAATTCTTGATCGCAAAGTTTCACTTGCAGATTTTAGGATCGACATAAAAATCATGTAAAATAAAAATATACTTCGTACCTTGAGTAGATCTAACAATTGTTGCAGGCGTCCGTTCATATCTAATAACGGCGCAATAAATTCTCGTCTGTAAAGTCTCATGGATAACTGGAAGGAAAGAAAATTTGAGCATCAAACGATTTCACCATGTGTATATCAGGTTGTATCTGAAAACAATAAGCTATTCAAAAATTTCATTATTCGCTTTTGATTTCTTGATTTGAGCGAAGGCTAGAACAGGTCTAAAACGTCTATTTTAAATAAATATGCGTAGTTTTACTTGAGAACGGGAACGAAAGGTAAGGCGAGAAATGATGACATACCGCATGAAGTCGCGTTATCATATCTTTAGTAAAGGATGTTGAATGCTTCAAGACATCATCTACCAATTTCTCGCAATAACGAAATGCCTAAATAAGACAATCCACGCGTGTTAAATAAAACATTGTGAAGTTTGTGGAGTAACACCATAAGTCAAACGAAGATATAACAATTACTAACTTTATTATGGAATCCGGCATCGGCCAATGAATGGACGTACAATTCTTTCCATGGCTGAAAAAAAACATAACGTTAAAGAATGTGCAGCGAAGGTTCAACTCCAGGACCAACCAAGTATAGAATTATCTTCTGATCTCAAAAAATCTTATTCTATAGAATAGATATCCCCGCAATTTGCGGAAACGTAAGCAAGTATTGAAATACGAAGTAAAGTGAGACGCTGAATTGAACAACTTATGCGGCACTTCTGTGCTTTTCAAAGTTCAACACACATTAGAGAAATCTACAATGAAGTAATTTCTAACCTGGAAATCTTTTATTATAAAATTTTCATCTTTGAGGCTCATAGCGTATTCATATATCTACAGGAACATGTTGTTGGTTAACAAGAATACAAACACAATACCGGCTTTTGACTATTTTAAACAATTTTATAACACATGCATGTAGCAGGCAAAAACGGATGAATGTTTAGGTCGACTGGCAAGCAGAGTTAAAGTAAAGCAATAAAAAGGCAATGGCGGAATAAGGGTTTGTATAAAAGTGAAAAAAACATAAGAGAGAATTCTGGAGCATGCTGCATGGCAGATGTATAGCGGCTTCAATAAAGGATTTGTAAGCATTTCTGCCATCTACCTCTGTGCGTTGAAGAGCCAGGAAATCCACGAATTCTGGTCGGATTTCACTACAGAAAACAGGAGTTTAAGTTTGTGAGAAGATGAACCATGAACCTTTATGTTCATTAAACAGATAGACAATGCGACTCTTCAACTTACTTCGAAGAATAACCTAGTAACAGTGTGCCACTCTGTTTACTAATTTCTTCTCCTGCTAATATGTAGCAAAGATGAGCTGCTTCAATCAGGCCACGAGACTCTGGAAAAGAGAAAGTAGCATTTTGCATGATAGCAACAAACACAAGTAGTAGGTCGTGCATGCGTGCATTCACCTAAAATGTCAATCGAAACAAGAATCTCTTGAAGGAAACGTTGCCAGTGTCCTCGTGACTTGTTTAAGCAGTTATCACCGTATGTGAAAATGCATCAACTTGATCACGCGAACTACAACGTAGCTTGGTTTGTGATATTGGTCAACACAACTCCCCCCCCCCGGCCAAATTACCATCCTAAATTACCAGCTTATCCAAACTGAACTTACCTAAGCTCGCGCCAAGTGCATGAATATTTTCGCTATCTTTAGCGGTTGACTTGGATGGATTTGAAATCATGATTGCCAAATGTTTTCTCCATCGCCTTGTCTTTTTCTAAGTTTTGACAAAAAAAAGATAGGGTATAAAACTATAGCTTTATTATTTACGTGTACTGTACCGGGTTTGTGAACCACATTGGTCCACGACCTCGCAGGGGTGAATCCAGAAAAGATAATTCTTTAAACTCACATCTAAAATTGAAGGTCGCTTAGACCCGAGATGCTGATACAAACATAACAAGGAATCGTCCTCATTAAGTTGACTGTTGAATCTACAATAAACAATGCGAAAAAGCATTGGAAATATACTGACACATGTACAATATGGAAAAATAGACATTTGCAAGCAGTTAGGAGAGATGAAGCAAGAACACAATTGAGAGAAACGTGTAAACAAGTTGCAAACGTGTAAAAAACAAGTAGAATAATTCAAATATCGCAAGCAAAGAATAAATGTCGTTACCTTTCCATGATATTCGAAAATACATTCTGGTCAGTGTGGTATGCTAACATCAAGGCGTGGCCCCAGATCTTGGAGTTTACTGCGTGTTCCAGAGCTTCCTATGGAAGGAAATGAATAAATGATAAAAGCGTTGTATTATTCTCCACTTCGCCGCGGGTATAAATATATAGCCGGAATTCATGAATAACTCTAAGCTCTTATAACGGCCAAACTATTTGCACGTGCAGTGTTGTTCTAAAAAAACCGTAAAGAAACTGTAGATAGAATGAATTGCTTTCTAGATCTTCTGCATGGAATAGTTCCTACGTCTAACAGGTCAACAATGTTGAAAGGTATTTTTCTACACATGCTTCTTTCAATACAAGCGCACGTAATGGTAAAAATTAATCCTTCTCTACTTTTTACCAGTTCGTGCGAACGAATTCGCTAGCAGGAGAGCGGGCTTTCGTCAGGCAAGAGAAGGGTGATGGCAAGATTAGTAAACAGCGTACCTGTGTTTTGCCAGCCAAGAGAAGCTCTCGATAAGTCGCGACTTGATCGTGTTTGGAATGATCTTGCCCATCAGCTGCAAAGGATACCCTTTGAGAGGTGGAAGAACTACGTTCCAGTCTTGTATAAGAATCTTCGGGTAGGTCCGAGGTTAGAATTTCGGCAATATCGGTGTTGAGGTACACCTGGAATAAAGATCGCAGTTCAACCAATGAAGAAAAAGCCAACAGAAAGAGTTAAAAACTCTGCATATTAAAATGTAGATTACTCGGGAAACTATTTTGATCCAGTGCTTTCAGACTGTTTAAAAGCAAGCTAATCACGCAATCTTTAAATTTTTTATGCATGCAGAAAGACTGAATGTAATTCTTACCCCGTTTTGTTGGACCATAACAGCCAACACTTGCCAAAGAATGTAGCCAGCCTCGCGTTTTTCAAAAGAATTGCTTTGGTTGTTGAAAGCCATCATGGCCATCTCTTTGGCATACTTTACAACACCCCGTTTATGGGTTTTGCCCCTGTGAAAAATACAGTAGAATAAAACATTGACTATAAGTTTTTCAAAATTTTGGTCGTTAAAATTTGTATGCTTTTCAAATGCTGAGTGATAATACAGTCTTAGTGCCGATCAATCATATGCTGGCTCCAGAAATGAAATGGTCTTAAACCAGCCATTATTTTGGCATTTTACCTGCAAAGTGGTCCAGGGAAATTGCGAATCGCCTCGTTGAATCTACCTTCGCTCTGAATAAAACAAGATCATATGCGTCAATTTATACTGTAGAATATTATAGGTATGTCGAAACCTGTCAATTGACAAGGGATAACCAACCTGATTGATTAGAGCTAACGCTTGCTGTTTCTGATCTATCTGATCTCCCTGAAAGTCGAATAATACGCTAGTATTGGTCTTGAGTGTAATACTGTTACTAGAAATCTATACAAATAAGGCTTAGACTAAGCTAGCATCAGTTCAATATCACAGAATTTCTGTCTCTGCTGTTATTATACAAACGACTATGACTATCTCTCACATTCAGACCTATACCAATACATCTAACTGGAATTTGTCTTCCGCGAGAAGCCTAGAACAGTATTAAAGTGTCGTCCCCGTTGTAGTTATACGTAAAGAAATAGTTAATATGACGTAGCTATATGATTACCTTGACATCAGTCAAGTACACTTCAGCAGTCTCAGCATCAAGGACCTGTCTGGCTGAGCAACACTCAATCGAGAGGCGGTTGAAAACGCTCCAACAATATGATGTTTTGTATGCTGCTTCGGGGTTAGTCGTTCAGGAGTAATTACTACAACAGTGGAAAATATATTTACGATTTTAGCTAAGGATAAACAACCAGACCTCGTGACAGTTATCGAACGAGCGATTCCATGCAATGCAGTACTATAAAGGTAACTACAAGTTTCTGATGATTTTGAAACTTTGGTCTTCGGATTTTTGATATCTCGCCAGGCTTCATCCACCGCTGTTTACTACTCTACTTAAATCTTACCCCGTTTAACCGTATCTTCAGCGGTGATTGCACTACTCTGTTGTTGCTTGTTCTGGTCATCCCACTTGATGCTGTCTCCCAGAGAGTTTGATGTGGATGAGCTGTAACTTCCTGAGCTCAATCGTCTTGAGCTACGAGATGATTGGTGACTTCGACCATAATAGTCCTCGCCTCTGCGATTACTGAATGGAAAATATTGAGAAGGTTGACTTAAAAAGCTCGACGACTGCACGAAAAGTATTGTAAACAACTTTGTCATTCATTACAATACGTTGCAAGTATTATTACTTTTCTTTCAATCATAAACAAATGTAAAACTATGAGCCATGAAAAGCTTTGGGTCAGTAAGGACATTATCTATGTCCACTTTGGAATGGAGCCTTGTAATTTGCATCAAATCGTTCTCGAATGCAGTGAAAGTTAAGAACTTACGAATCTTCATAGTCGTAGACCGTTCGTTTCGAGTGGCGGTAGTTACTTCGTCGAGCCCGCGAGCTCGACCGTGAGGAAACTGAACGTGGAGACTCGGCCCGAGATGATCGTCCTGAACGAGAACCACGCCGCTGACTATCACCACTGGACCCACTAGAGTCAGACTCCCAACGATGGTAATCCCGATCATAAGAATCACGATAATATTTATTAAAATATGCTCTGTCATTGTAGTCTGTTCGTCTTCTACCCTGGCTCTCTCTTCTTCGCTCACGAATGCGACTTCTTTTCGAGTTAGATCTGTGATATCGTTGATCATCATACTGGCTTTCTCGCCTGCTGCTTGAAACAAATAGTTTGTATGAGAAATACTGTTGTCTGAATTCAAACCACTTCCGCATAAAACAGCACTTACTTCTCTGCACGGATCCAGCGTTCTCTTTTGAAAGACCAAAACCACTTTCTGCTCTCATCATAATATCGATTGCTTTCCTCCTCTGAATCAAAATCTTCATACTGTGTATCAGTGTTGCCATGCTGCTGCCATTGATCAGTATCGTTGGTTGAATACTGTAGATTAACATTGCTGCTAACTTGCTGTGGGTATTGCCAGCTAATTTGCCTACAAATGATGGATTTGTTTAGTTGAACACGAGAGGATAATGTGCGAAAAATTACTTCAATTTTGTGTTTTGACAAATTTAGCCAGTAATTTCATGATCTCGTGAATGTGCTTGCCACTTCGCCATAGTAGTCATGTAGTCTAAGTGCTAGAAACATTGGCTTCTACGTATACAATATTGTAATACTTTACTACTGCTTTCGGTGCCTAAGGTGGTTTTAAGAACTTTATACAGTCTATTGTAGAGTACTTTAAAATATCTCATTTACCTTTCCAATTTTTGATGTTGAATATTCTGCTGGTACTCCTGTGCCTGCTGTTGCAACTGTTGTTGCTGCTGCAACTGTTGTTGCTGTTGCAACTGTTGTTGCTGTTGCAACTGTTGTTGCTGTTGCAAATGATGTTGTTGAGTAAACTGATTCGGTTCAGACCTTTGCCGCTGTACATTCATGTGTCCTCCTCGCAGCTGCTGATTTTGCGAGCTGAACTCATCTTGAAACAGCCTTTGTTCGTACTGTTGTTGCTTGTACTGCAATTGTTGCTGTTGGTGTAACAACTGATGCTGTTCCTGTTCACTCGAGGAAACCATACCTTCAATCTGGCCAGAACCATAACCATCACTGTTAGCAACAGGATGGTCAACATGACCATCAGCGCCACCATACTCAGGGACCATTCCCACACCACTACCTTCACGCATTCGAGCATGCTCACTCTGAGGCAACCCGGTACGCACTGCAGAGCGGCTGGCGTCAGGATGTGTGAAGGAGTTCTGGGGGAGACCGGTCATGGTCCCAGAAGCAGAGGCAGTCTGTTGCAAGTGCTGGTCAGGAATCTGGTTTGAGGAAGGAATGTTCTTTACTACAGGCGCTTGGATGACATTTGGCCTAAAAAATTAAAAGTATCAACAGTCTAGTCCGTTAATTGAAACCAAAATAAATAATTCGCCCCCAGAAACACCATGAAAACTTTTTACTGAATAGGTTTTGATCCGTTGACGCCGTTTATTAATAGGTCACACTATTACGTTATGTACCAGTTAATATCGGTATTATATTTAATATTTGAGATAGTTTAAAATGCAAATTTGTACAATGTAATACGTTAATTCTACAACTAGACTCTTAATTTTAAGCTCTTAATTAACGCTTAATTTTAATATGCTTTCTCTAAGCCAAGAGTCGTCCACGTTGACTCCAACGTCTCAAATGACGGTTAATAAACGCAGGTTACGAAGAATGAATAATTAATACCGAAGAAACAAATAATTATTGTAAGACAACAAATAGCTGAGCAATTTAAAAATTATGAAATCCGTGCACAATGTCTTGTAAGAACCTGCGTCTACCCTGCTGACACTTCTGTCGCTCTCTATACATCCTAGAATTTTATTAATCTTCCTATATTCTTTACTTTAACTAAAAAATTACTGAACGATTACTGATATCTCAGATTATTGTTATTTTCAGGTTATGGTTAGTAGTGTGAGATTTTGGACCATCGTGAGACGATAGTTGCTTAGTTTGTGTGCGGATTTAAAAACGGGTTTCGATCGAGGTGTGAAAAATCGCTATTCTTGGTAGAGAGCCATACTCACCGTTGGATATTTCCTCGGTTAAGACTAGATGGCTTTCGACCACATCATGAACAGGGTTTGCACTGGCGAGTTCTTGATTTGAACTTGAAACACCAAGTGAACTTTGGCGACTAAGACTGGATGTCGAGTCACAATCACTTCTCTGCAAAGCAGCCGCTAACAGGGTTTGCTGAGCGGCGCTGGAGGCCACAGGTGGATTTGGCAACTTTGATGGAGTACTACTGAATCGATTACGATTCTGTGTGAAGCCAGGAATACCCAGATCTGATGGCGCGACATTAGAATGTGGTTGCTGCGATATTTTGGCATTATGGTCGATCGAAATACCACTGGAACTTGGCGGTTGGCCATGCACATTCATAGCTCTTTGAGAACTGTTGTCGAATCCATGGCGATTAAGTTGGTCATGGCTGGAAACTGGAACAAACTGATTTCCACGATTCCCTGTTTGGACAATAAGACCAGGTATGGCCAATTGAGGATCATTGTCCCAGAGAGAAGTATGAATTTTAGCACTTTGAATTATTGCTTCCTTTTTCTCGCGCTGTACTGGCGAACGAAGCGGAGATTCTAAGTGCCGAACTTTTTCTTCGTAGTCTTGGGAGCTTGGGCAGTTTGGCTTCACTGGCATAAAGGCCGACGGATGCTGGTTTGGGTCGACGGTATCCAGTTGTTGACTCCCTCTGGTCTCGGTCGAAGCAATAGATGCTTTATTGGTGTTCTGTGGTGTCATACCAACAGGAAACATGGTAACCGAAGCACCCAAATGTTGACTGGAGAGTGCTTGCTGGTTGCCCGATGTTAGGTCATCATTGGAGATGATGGTGCTTGTGTTAGCCGGAGGTGTATCAAGTTTGGGATCACTTGTATTGAGTGAATTCACTCGCTCGTGACCAAATGCTGGAACTTGCTGGTGACCTGATAGTGAATTACCATCACGAGATTCATCGTCACGAGCAATAATGGTGTCCAAATTGGCTAAACTTGATTCAAGATTAGCTGAACCGATAGTGCCAACACCATGGTTACCAAAATGTGCTGACTGATCGTTTGACGATGGGTGAGTATAAAAAATCCCGCTGGACTTTTCACCCTCATTTACTGTTCCACTTGTTTGTTACAATGTTGATGCTTGTTGGGTATTCCGTGGAGTACCGTGAGGATCAATAGCGTCCCACTGAGTTGGTTTAGCCTTGACATCGTCGCTTGATGCCTTCGAATCAAATGGCTGAGTAGCCGGTTGCCGTGCTGTTTGATGGTTACTGGGCAGTTGTTCTTTACTAGTAAAAGGTACCATGCTGCTTGGTCCCAACTGCGGTGTATCAGGTTGTACAACGTCTGAACGTAAAACCTGATTATTTTCCTCGTTGTTTATAGAAAATCCAGGCTGAGACACTTCAGAATTAACGGCATTGTCAGACGTAAGGGATGAAGCAAGTTTCCTTTGTGCCGACTGGGTTTCTCCAGGATAGCCTGCCATTGGTGCATACGATGAAGATATTGGAATGGAATTCTGTGCCGCAGATTGGTTCTCAGTTAGGTCCTCTGTTGACGTCCAAGCACCAGCTGGTGAAAATAGATGAATTTGATTCTGTGCCAAGAACTTTTGGCCGTCTTCCATAAAGAACCCTTCATTTGGAGCGGCAGGCTTAGTGGCTGGGAAAAGGTTGTGCCCAGGAGAAAAACGTTCACCAACATTGTTGCTGGTGGTGTTCATCATCTCTAAAGATGGCGGAGGCAAATGTGCCGAGTTTACATCACGCTTGATATTGGACGGTGGAAATTTGCTTGATTCCCCAAGATCCATTCCCGGTGGGTACAAGGAGCCGCTTTGACCTACTGGTTTGCTGGTTGTTAAACCTGGTGGGTCGAAAGCCGGCGTTACACTCTGCGACGATGGACCAGCGGCTTGGTCAATAGCATCATTCACCATTGCTGGTGGATATAGGCCAGAAGTTGTAGATTGAACAGCTGGAAAAGCGTTGCGTTCAGTGGGATATAAATTGCTGGCAAGTTCATCTGGTTGTTTTCCAATTGGATCGTAAGTTTCAACAACGTCTTGGCCTGGTAATGTTTCGCCAGAAGTCTTACTCTGATTACCCAATACGGTATTGGGTCTAGGAATACCACTGAATGCCATAGCTGAATCAGAAGATACTGTGGCTGTGTCCCCAAGTGAATAATTTTTCTGGTCGAAATCAGGAAAAGTTGAACTCGATGGCGGTGCGTGCAAGTTTTGAGCTGAAGATGCATGGTAGGTGTTTTGGTCTCGACTGGAAGGTGGTTCAACTTGAGATGCTGCCGATTCACTGTGGTCGAAAGGCCATTTCCCTACTTTAGGTTCTTTCTCTGATGCTTCTGTATGCTGAAAAGAATGTTGTGCATCGGTGTTGATCGAAAAACCAGGCACTCCATCTCCTGCTACAAAAGAAGGAAATCTTCGGCTCTCCTCCTGACTAGAACTAAAACCTTTGAAAGGATCATTCTGGTGCTGCCCGGAAAACAACTGTGACGTTCCACCACCAGGAGTAGATGATTTTGCCACGTTAAACAGGTCGTTTCCAGTATGGGCAGAAGGCTGTTCTGGCAAATTTGACCCGTAAGATGGTGGAGTCAATGTTGCATGGTTCTCAGCATCCGAGAGCTGTTTGGCATGAGGTGTTTCTTTAGTAGTTGAAGCACCAGCTTCACTAAAGAGTTGAGCTGTTGAATATCGCTCCTGTGCCCCATATGATGGTTCTTGCATCGACATGCGTGGTCTCCTACATTTTGACGTGGATGTGCATACGCGCTCAGATTTGCTGGCTCAAAATTTTGAGCGTTTGTCGCTGGCGATACGAAACGTTGCTCGGCTGCATTCGATGTTGGTGGCAAGGCCGGGAACGATGTTTGATTCTTGTTAGGCGTAAAGAAACTGTGGTCAAAACGATGAAAGGGTGCAGTGCCGGAATCGGATGAACCAAAGCTGTCAAAGA